TATATCCGCCCTGATTTATTTTTTTGTATATTTTTTAATTGGCGGGTTAGGATTCACTGTACATCGCCTTACGCTCGTTGCCTTTATTTCACCAACTCTTTCAATCGCATATGAGGACACCGTCTTCTGAACTGAATGTCCGTAAGTAGTTTTATTGTTTTTAAGCACACTTCAGTCACTATATACGCACTGATGAAAAGGGCAAGGCGTCTCTTTCGGATTTATTTATTTATTTTATTTACTTACTTCAAAGACAGCAAACCCCTACGGGTTATTGCAGGAGGGTGTTACAGCAATGTATTTGTGTATACAAAACACAACACGTTACACATAAAGAAAATAAACATGATTGCATGAATGTAGTAAATGCAACATTCAATAATAAAGCGAAACAACTTAATAACAAACGCAATTATGCATCAAAAAAAAAAAATTCAACAATGTCCCTATGCAAAAGAAACGCCAGAAAACACAATCTGAGGCAACATATTCAAATCTTCGGTAGTTCCCACGAGAAAAGAGTATTTGTGAACGTATTGCTGTTTGGTGAGTTCGGGTTGACCGAAAATTCATTATTTAAACGCTGAGATCGCCTTCCAGGTGGTCTTATGTAACCTTCTGTGCCAACGTTGATATACTTGAAAAAAAAAAAAAACTAAAAACATCTTAGTCGCTTTGTTGCTAAAGGCGAAAGCTTGACTTCTTTCAACAAAGCCGTAACAGACTCGAGCCTAGCGTGTCTAATAAGAATAAATCTGATTGCGAGCTTTTGAATGCGCTCTAGTTCGTTTACTCGAATTCGTCAATGGGGATCCCAAATTACGTAGGCATACTCTAGCGCTGGGCGGACTAGAGTTTTGTAAACAATAGTTCTAGCGTCGGAACTTGTCTTATACAGGGTTCGATTCGGGAAGCTTCCATTGCGATATGCAGAGTTACGGACATTTGTTCACGAGCATTTGAACTAAGTTCAGTCGAAGTTACAACGCCAACATACTTAAGAGTCACAACGTTGCAGACGTTTACCTTATACGGAAACCAAGGACACTTTCTGGCAAGCGACAACAGTCTGCTTTTTTTTTTTTCTATCTCTACCTCGCCCTCTCCCCTCGAGAGAAACAATAAAGTGGAAGATGTAATCTTATGTCCCACCTTTCACACCAGTGCGAGATAACCGATAAGGAATGATTGAGTAATATCTGGTCATCAAGTGTTTCCACTGAAGTTCCTAGATAAGAGCTTCCTAGAAGTAGCAACCTTCGAAGCCCCGACTGCGTGACGGTGCTGGTTTTAGGAAGCGAACGGCTGCGCACAGCGGAGGACTGAACTGAACGCGTCGCCATTTTGTTCCAGCGGAATGTGCTTTGTCATTTGTATTGGTTGTCGTTACTGTTAAAAAGAAGTATCAAGGGACTTCAGTCTCCACGGGTACGTAAAGTACACTATAAAAAAGTCTGTGCGTCTACTTTCACGCACAACACTCGGAAAGCCAACCACTGCAACTTACGGAGGCAGCTCAGCGAATGACGATGCCTAAACATATGTTTAGCCCAAAAAACGCACTCTCAGTTGTGACATTAAGCAATGCAAAACGTCACGTTTTGCATTGCTAGGTCTTAGCAGCCTATTGATGTGACCTCGTTTTGAGCATGCGCTCTAAACAGCACCCACAAATATGGCGTCCAATGAATACTCCCTATACTTCGTTGCAGCTTAGGTCCGAGCGCGGCCGATGTTATCAGCCGAAGGGCCAATGAAACAGCGAAAGAGGCACAACGTCATGGCGTGCTTTCTGCAGTTGATAGGACTTGCCGGTATTCGCCGTCTCTCTGCGCGTGCTCCTCCGTCGGCTAGTCCTATCAAGCCCAGAGAGCACGCCATGACGTTGCGCTTTTTGTGCTGTTTGAGTGGCCCTTCGGCTCATAACATCATCCGCGCTCGGACATAAGGTGAAACGAAGTATAGTACTATACTCGGCGACAACTCTATTGTGCTTAATTTCCGAGGCTAACGTATAGACCTTCGCAAAAATCACCTTCTGGGCGCTGCCATCTTTGTCTGTTGGGCTGTGGAACGCCTTCTGAGCATGCGCTCTTGCTCTGCTGCGCGGTAGATCAGACGCTGCGCATGCGTTCACAGCTCAGTGACTCAGCATTTTTCGCCCGGGTAATAAGCGATGGAAAGGTCTATACGTTCGGCAGTGCTCCAGCGCTGTCATAGACTGGTGCGAGCGCGTGCGAATGAGAAGCCTAGACCAACGGTGGCCCAGACGAAGCCACCTGCTTTCGAAGCAGTGCGCGAGGCTGCGGCGCCGTGGAAGTTATATTAGCCCTGACAACGCAGTAGCACGAAATAGGTGACGCCGAGTGTATGCCCTAAAACTGGGATGGGTGGCTAGCAACCCCCACTGTATTGTGCTGAAAAGGGCCAACGTAAAATGTGGTTAGAATGCGTAAGATATCCATCACAGTTCAAATCATGTTGTGCTTTTTTCTCGCGATCCTGACAACGAAAGATGTTTTTGGTGCCTTATGTGGGGGAACAATCCGGGAACCCCCGCGTTAGCTGTGGCGTTGACAATAGCTGAGCTCTGTTTACAGGGGTGATGTTTATGAGTAGTCTCGGCACTTCCTAGGGCCCTGAAATCTGACACAAGGGCAGTGAGACAGACGCATGGCGATTTTTTTTTCTTCCTAGCGAGTCCACAGAACTGAGCTCCACCGGGACAATTAGTTCTACAAAAAGCTGTATGTGTAAGCACACTATTTTTACAGTCAATTGTGCTAAAACGTAAGTAAAACGTACAATCTGCCATGCGTCTGTCTCACTGCCAGTCAAAAGTAGTTAAATGCAAATTAGAATGAGGCAATCCGAATTTATTTTCGCCAATTAGTTTAAGCAGTCGAATTGCTGCCAACTATGTTGCCTCCTCTGTAGGAGAAAGGGAGGTGGGTAGAAGGTCCAATAAATATTTGAAAAGAAAGTAACGAACTGCAGAGTATATTTGGGCATGACAGAACAACGTTGGCTATTGAAGTCACGAGGTTTAAACACCTGCAACGAATCTCAAGTTGACATCTCAGGCCCATTTTATAGCGCTAATTGCGTCTATTTATTCATAATTTGCCCTAGATTAAGTGAAATTTAATTAAGGGCGTCATCCAGTAGAAACTCGATTTCCTAACTCTGCTTCGCCGTTATTTGAGGCCACGCCATTTTTTCTTTTCTTTTTTTTTTTTCATTTTCCCGATGACGTGGTGCCAGCATCGGATCGTCTTCTAATAGACTTGAGACAGCGAGAAGTTAGACATCCTTAAGATATCGACTCTGTCTCCTATTGGCCGAGGCAGTTGGTACGGCGGTTCTCAGCAGAATTTTTAACACAGTCTCTTTTATATTTAGAAAAATAATATCATACATGTTCATGTATTTCCTTACGCGAAGCCATGTGGGCCCTTACCAAAGCGAATCCAACACAGCCGCCTCTAATACCTGCCTCGTCAGATGGGTCTTTCACATTGTTTGGGACTGTACGACGCATTCGAAAGTGTTCCGCGCTCCAAGCGATTCTTGACTGCACTCAGTTCAAACTTAGTGTGAAACGGTGGCGCTGCTGTCGGAACTGCGCATGCGCAAAAGCTTCACTCCTCCCAAATTTCGTTTCTGCGCGGGCGCAGTGCCCACACCTGGTGTGGGCAAAGCAACCTTGTTTGTTAACACTGTGTTGGTGTATGGGCCTTCGCATCGTTTATCCCACGGGCAAAAAATGCCGAGTCACTGAGCTGTGGACGCATGCGCAGCGTCTGATATACCGCGCAGCGTAGAAACAGCGCATGCTCAGAAGGTGTTCCACAGCCCAGCAGACAAAGATGGCAGCGCGCATGGTTGGTTGAACGATGGTAGAACACGACGAGAAACGTGACGAACACCATATTGTTAGGATTTTAACGGTGTTTGGGTTCCCACCAGCTCGTAGCGTCGGCCGCGCTCGGACTTGGTGTGAAACGGAGCATAGTTGGCCGGCTAACTTGGCTTTATCTTATCGATGCCACCGTTTCCTCTTCCAGAGCAAAAAGATTCAGAGAGCAGTTTGTCTTTCGACGAAGTGCCTCGTCTCTTTCAATATCAGCATCCGCCCATTTCTTGGCGCCTAGCTCGGGCATCAAGTGACGCCAGACTCTGCTCAAATGCGTGAATACGCTTTTGCAACACCTACGCAGACGGGCTCATCGTATACGTAAACCTCTACCGCGGCGCGTTTGCGGAGGCGTGCACAAGTACACCTATAGAGCCGGTCTAGTGAACCGTTTTAAACACAAAGCACGGCGGACGCTAAAAAATAAAGAAGCAGAGCAACTAACTGCATGACTTTATTTTGAGGGCTAAACATTATTCTAATGGAGAATTTCGTGCGTGGAACTTCATTAATAAAATATCTACAGACACAGCCGCTGAAGCATGGAAAATAAATTCTAAATGAATTCTCCAGGTAAAAAAAACAAAAAAAACAAACAAAGCAAACACAACACAAAATAAAATTGTGAAAAGCACGTAAGACAATCACTTGCCAAATATATACACAGCAAAAAAATAAAGAACGAACAAAACAAATGAAGCACAAAGACTTATATGAAATGTAAATGAAGCAAATTTCGCGCAAAAATTATGAAAAACAAATTGACGAAAAGTGTATTTAGAAACGTGCATGCGTCGACGTTTCACCGGTAGCAATACATCTTTTGAAGGAATGCTACTCTTTTGAATAAAGTATCTTTAAATGGCATTTTACAACCTCGTCACCTCGCTTGACGTGAGCATCCCACAAACACTCGTTATCTAACCTGGAGGGTTATCAGAGTAGATATCGGCCGACAGATACTTTTTTTTTTTTTTGTAGATATAGGCAAAACATCCACACTAAAGATACAGGAGGACTCTCGACGGGTATAGACGCCCCCGTGTTGCGTCGGGTCCAGGTCTAAGAAAAAAAAAATACTCACCGTGTTCTCTTTTGTATCTTCTTGTTTGCTTCTTCCAGCTCACGATTCCCGCACGGCCGCCGCCATCATTCCTCCATAAAAACAGGATCCATGCCACAGGTGTTCAAGAGCCGGGGGCGGCCGGGGAATCGCCGGAATCGCGAGCGCCGAACACAAAACTTCTCTGCAAAGCCGATACGGTCGGATCACAGACCAACAACAACAGCAACAACATCGCACGTGTTATCGAACGTTGATATCAGCGTAATCCGAAGCGCGGACTGCGTGGACACATTGCGCCTGCGCAAAAGACGGAATGGGCGGGCGGTGGTCCGCGGACCGAACCGACCGAACTACGTCGAACGAAGCCGTAGTTTCGCAGCCGAAGGTCGCCTGCTGCCAGCAGGGCATGGCGGACGCCGGATCAACTAAAACTTCTCTCCTCTTCTTTTCTCTCTTTTTCTCTCCCGGCTACCCCCTCCCCCAACTTCCGCCGTTTGAGGTGGCTTCTGCTTGTTGCTGTTTTCGTTTGTTTCAGCCTGTCCAGCTGTTTGTTGTTCAGAGAGATCGTCTGGTAGTGACGCCATCTTGTTTTATGTATGCAGTACGCCCGCTCGCAAACCCCCGCTCGCTATTTTCTTTTTTAAGCGTGGCGTTTGGTTTGGAGGTCGCTCGTCCGGCATTGTGGTGGTTTGTATCTCGGGAAGACGCCTATTTATAGCGAGCACTCGGGGGAACTGGTTTGTGTCGCTCTGTCATTCATTTTCTCCTAATCTCAGTTTGGGGCTCGTGATGGTTGTGTATTCGGCTTCATTTCACGATGTACTAGACTAGATTTCTCTCTCTCTCTCTCTCTCTCTCTCTATATATATATATATATATATTTTTTTTTTTTTTTTTTTTTTGGGGGGGGGGGGGGGTACAAGGGACGCATGCGTCTCATTACTTTAAAATGTTCTAGTGATCTCGGGTGGTAAATGTCACCACCCAAGATCAAACTTTTTTTTTTTTTTTTTTGTAGTTAGATCATAACCCCCGTAATTTAGAAAAGGGAGGAGGCTACATTCCCTGTGAGCCAATCAGCGTGTCAGAGGAAAGCACGTGACTATAGATGATGTTGGCTACACAGGGCTGATATACGAAGCGTGCAAACCTTGCATTCACTGCATCACGTCAACTGTGTCTTCTGTGCTGTAAAGGGGAAACAAAGCAATATCTCAACTACGTCAAAGCGCCCCTCAAATATTTATTAATGTCCATTCTCATTAACGTTTAAATATTTTTTTTTTTATTTGGGAGGGGGGGGGGGGGGGCTTGCATTGAGGTATGACTGCAAATTACGACAGCCACCAGTTGATGCAGCACACTAATACAATTTACATTCTTAAGGGTGTGAAAAGGGTGTTCCAGAGATTCAACACCCATATGACTACACCCTTTCAGCACCCTAATGTTGGGTAATGGACCCTTTGTAATCATTAAAGGAGGTGCTGTCGCATGGAACGCCCTCCGCTTTTTTATGGTATAAAGAATGTAGAAAAGGTTGCTGCTGCAGTGGCCTCTTTAAATTACGATTTCTCTGACCGCTTTAGGTAAACAAATATGGCCTGTATATGAATACCATATATTATACATAACATTGCTAAAGTTGAAGCTGTGACGAGTTGGTACGACACGCTGAAAAGATTAAGACAGCGCAAAAAGACGACGGACTGGATAAAGGAGGACACAGACTAAGCGCTGACTCGCAACTAAGTTTTATTAAACGCAATAGTGCAATATTTACACGAACAGTTGAGAAAAAAAAATCAGCCTAAAAAACACAGTTCAAAAAGCACAAAAAACGAAGTATCGCTTCTAAAAAGACATACAGAGGGCAGGCGCTAAAACCAAGCTAATCAATAGGCCAGAAAGTTAATCTCGTTTTTTGATAAGGGAACAGGACTGCTGACACACATGGCGCCTAATCTTTCTATTGCTAAAACCTCCAGAATTTCGCGTGTCAGCTGGTCCCGGTGTCGTTTAAAAACCTCACACAGTTGAAACTGAGGTTGGCATCTCGCATCTGCAGCCACGGCAACGTATGCCAAGGTGACCAAAAATCGTGGAAGAGACGTTGTCGGCATGTTCCCTTAGCCTGTCATTGAGACAGCGACCTCCCTAGCAGCACAGGTGTCCTGGACACATCCACAGGACATCCCTGGAACGTCGGGACATCCGGAGGATATCCGGAGGACCATGTGTGCTACTTAATAGTAATAATAATAATAATAATAATAATAATAATACTAATAATAATAATCATTTCCTTTTTTCATTACAAACGAAAAAAAAAGGTGGAAAAGAGGCCAAAAAGCTGCTACTGCACACTCTCAAGAAAAAAAGGGTGTAAAAGGGTTATTGTTACACCCTTTGTCCCATATAATACACCCCAAGACTTCAATTCGACGTACAGCGCCCTATTGTCGAACAGACGGCCCCACATTTTACAAGGGGCTAGATAGCCGTGTAGTACAACTTATTAAAATAGCTAAGGTACGTTTTACTGAGTACAACTCGGTGTTTTCTTTCTGTGGTCATTGAAACGTACTTTAGCTATTTAAAAAGCTATATCGCACCGTTATCAAGCCGCTCGTAAAATTTAGGGCCGTCTCTTTGACTATAGGGCTCAGTACGTCGAAATGATGTTTTGGGGTGTATTATATGGAACGAAGGGTGTAACGATCCACCCTTCTGCACCCTTTTTTCTTGAGAGTGCAGCTTGACGGGGCCCTGTTCCCATACACAGCTTGGCGGAAAAAACAGCGTAAAATAAAAATACACTAGACCCAAAAAATCAAATATACACTAGCACACCACTCCAATCATCATACTTAGAAAGATAACTAAAAGACATATGCCACTCATATAGAAACAATTGCAGAACACATATATGTGACACTACACGGTATCATATAGAAAATAGGATTGTAGTATTATGTCCGCTAACATTCGATTTGACTTTCCAAATATACACACAGCATTTGCTTCAAGTTCATTTAATAAAGATGGCAACACATGCTTTAATAATGTAAAACCATAATTAGTACGGGGTGTTGAAACATTCCAGGTCTCGCCATGGCGGGTAACGTATTTAGGATCTAACTTAGTTAAACATGACAATGCGGAAATGAAAAAAAAAAGTATTGTTGTGTTTTAAGGCTACATTGTAAGTCACCAACAACCAAAATCTGTGCGGCTGTTCAATAGGAATTACACGATGCTTGAAGAAGAGTTCCTTAGGAGGATGCAAAAAAGAAACATTTGAAACAATTCGAATTGATTGGGTTAGTAATAGTTCTGTTAAGTTATGTTTTGTTGTTTGGCCCCAAACTAAATGACAGTATGCATAGTGAGTATAAACCAAAGAGTAATATAAAAGCAATTTTACACTTGTTGCGAACTGCCTGGCCAACATAACGCCTGCCGCAAGACAGAGGGAGGGAAAACACAACTTCCTCAGCGCAGGTGACGTAACGATTGCGATGCTTCGCAGTGCAGGCCCTCGCCTCCCTATCAGAGGGATTAAGGGCTCTACACAATCTTGAAAGCTTCTCGGGGGGGGGGGGGGGGGGGGGGGGGGGGGGGGAGGGGAGGGGAGGGGAGGGGAGGGGAGGGGAACAACACGTCCATGTCACATCTGCGTGCAATACATTTGAAGTTATGGGCCACGCCGTGGATATACGGAATGACGGCGAACTTTCTTCTTTCCCTTCCTTTTACACTGCTGGAAGGGACATCGCTCGTCACAGGCCAAGTTTTTGTTTGTTTGAGCAGTGACTCAGCGACAGCTGTCAACACTTGTGAGGGGAACCCAGCGACAGTGAGGCGTTCAGTTTGCTTTTCGAAGCCAGGTTGAACTTTGTGGAAACAAGACCTTCGCAAAGCATCTGTGTAGCAGGTCTTCGCGATTGTCCGTTTTACAATTTTCGAATGCGCAGACTCAAAGGGCAGAAGAGGCTTACCGGCCCGAGGTTCATAAGCCCAGCATACATGGTCCGGGCACATTGTTAAAGTTAAATCCAAAAATCTGATACATCCGGCTTCAGGTACTTCATGAGTTAAAAGAAGTGGCGAAAGACAGTTAGAAAAGATGCCTAAAATAGGAATCATCGATGAACGAAGGGATTGGGTGTCAGTTTCCAACAGGATTAAAAAATCGTCTACATAGCGAAAAAACCCTTGCAACATTGCTACCCTCAAGGTGCTCTAGAATGATCCGATTGATGCTTGCTAAGAACAAGTCGCTAAGAACAGGTGCGATGCAAGATCCAATGCACACTCCTTGACGTTGAAAGTAGACGCTACCCTCCCAAGTTTCAAAGGTCGACCTCAGGTACTTGTCAAGCAGCTTTAAAAAACCATCGACTGATATTCCAACCGTATTTTGATAAGCAACAGCACCAAACCTGTCAATACAGTCACGAATGCAGACGAGAAGTTCATTGAGAGGCAAAGAGTACTAAAGATCCTTAATGTCAAACGAGCATGCCGTATAACCAGTTTGTTCGTTTTCCTTGAGAAACAAAATAACTTTGTCTGAGCTATTCACAAGGAAAGGATCGTCAGTCTTTAGCAGATTTAATCCTTTTTGTAGCAAAAATGCGACAGGTTTTAGCACGTGACTTCTGTATGTCTTTTTAGGAGCAATACTCTCGTTCTGTGTGCTTTTTGTTTTGTGTTTTCTAGGCTTATTTTCTTCTTTTTTTTTTTGTTCTCAACTGTGCGTGTATATATTGCACTGTTGAGTCCAATAAAATGTAGTGGCAAATCAGCGCTCCGTCTTTGTCCTCCTTCATCCAGTCCGTCGTCTGTTTGCGCTGTTTTAATCTCTTAAACATAAAATTTGCTTAAAGGGGTCGTGCAACGATTTTCGATATTCATATCCATGCAAGGAAGGCCCTACCCTCAGAGCATATGACGCTCTTATCAGTGTAAGGATCGATCTCGCAATGCAGGTCACCCCATAGTAATTTGAAACATTCATTACGCGAAGGGACAATACGATATTAAATCCGCTTGGATAGGCGTAAATAAAATAAGCATGAAACAGCTTCTTTTTTTTTTTTACGTGAGTACGTCATTTTTTATGTTTTCATAACCAATATCGAGTTCTATATGGAACGTGTTTTATCGCAATCTGATAACGACTAAAAAACGACCATATTTACTCATTACTTAACCGATCAGGTTTATTATTAATGAATACTCTTTGTTTTAATGTGTACTGACTTCAATTCAAGGTCTAAACAACGGGTTAATTACCCGATTTTTGTCTTCTGCAAACAATAGCGGACGTCTGCAACGCATAGGGTTTGGGAAGTGTCCGGCTCCTGGAAGAGCGAGAAGGTTAAATTGGTAGAAATATAGTTTGGTGTTATTACTCTGTAATTGTGCAAATATTTATCTGATAAGCAGGCGTTT